CCTGCTGCAAACTGGGAGGAAATTACCAAGAGTTACTGATTCTTTTTATTTGAGCCTATTTAAGCTCGTTCTTGATAAAACATTTAACATTTTCCACTTAGTTACTAAGTGGAAACACATGGAAATGCTGAGAGAAGTACATTATCCTACTTGTTTCTAAAAAGAAAGCTATTTTGAGCACTTCTGACTTTCCTGTAACATCCTTTCTGTTACAAAACATAACTTCAGCAGCTACGTCACAGCTCAAGAGTCTTCCAAGGTCCCATTTAATTCAATCTGCCTTTAGCCTCGGCAGGCACGGATCCCTCACGCGAATTTTAAGGTTATTTTATGATATGTTTTTCTTTTGCCAAGTTTTCATACAAGATCTCCTTTATTTCCTCTGTAAGTATAAATAATTTCAATCTTTGCAACACAGAGCAAAAGGGAAAAAACAAACCCAAACCCCCAAACCCCAGAGGTAATCCTCTCAAGTGGCAGGATCTGAGAAAGCTGCAGAACACACCTGCAAGTCAGACGGAAACAGATCCCCAGGACTAGATGGCGTTCACCCAAGAGCTCCACACCTTGAAAACACAGCAGCCAGACAACTAATTGCAGGGAATAAAGCACCACTTTATTTAACCTGGTGAACCTGAAGCCCCAGACTAGTGCTTTAAGCCAACTGTTACCCGATTTACAAACCCCACAACGAAAACAAGCGGATGGGCAAAGCCGGTGTGATCGGCAGCTCCCCCGAACTCGCGTGGCCTTTCCAAACAACTTGAAAGAAAAACTCACCTTCTCTGGTGAACCAGCAGCTAGGTGAAACGTAAGAAACAAATCAAAAGCGAATTGAAGAAGAAAAAGGCAGAAAGCAGGGTCCCGAAAGAAACAGTGCTGCTCAATATATTCACAAGTGATCTCAGAAGACCAATGAACAGTAAAGGAGTAACATGTCCTGGCGCTAGAAAAGTTCTTTAGCCATTGCCATCCCCAACGGCTGCACAGCGATTTCCTGGCAATAAGCAACCAGGCAACGAGACGGCAGATTTAAGTCAGTGCTGACAAAAGCAAAACTAGTTCTGGGAGAGAACCACCCCTGAACAACGACCGCGAAGGCAGTGAACAGCCCTCCCATCAGGGACCCGCGGCCATCCGGCACAGCCCGAACCTTTCTTAGGGGCAAGGCAGGAAAATCAATCTGTGTGGGATTTGTAAGCATCACCAGCAGCTATTCCAGCATCGCTCCAGGTGAAGCTCTCTGTCGGGAAAGAGGACAAGCAGGGCAAAAGTAATTTGTCCCCATCCACTGTGCCCTGACTGGCAAACCTGTCCTCTCGCACTGGCTCGGTCTAAGCCAGGAGCTCTCGTGGAGCAGCCAACACCTGCCGTGTCCCTCAAGAAATCTCTCATCCTTCGCCAGCTCTGGAGCCCGGCTGCCCATCTGCCCCTGCCTCGTCTGCACCACAAGTTTCTTTCCTGCCGAACTTTCAGAACCTCACACTCTTCTGCTGCCCCATCCCACTTCTGAGCCCCAAAAAAGCTCTGACGGTCCCAGGAAGGAGCCACCTCCCTCTGTCCTCAGGGCTGAGCCCGAGTCGCGTGCCACAGCCAGGACAAAGCCAACAAGCAGCGTTCCTCTGCGATACACGGCAGTCCTTTTGGAGAAACACGACATTTTAACACAAAATCCTGCAGACCTTGGAGCCACTGCTCAAGGATCTCATTATTGAGCAGCAGCCAAAGAAGTAAAAGTTATGTCCCGAGTTATTATGAGAAAAAATAAGCAAGTAAACAGAAGGCACCATTCAACTGTCGTGTGCTTGCCCCTCGGGCGCCGGTCTGCGGAGCCGCTCCCACCAGAGCCAGCAGAGCTCCAACGAGCAAGGCTGGGCTGGTGAGGGTTAGGGTTGGGTTAGGGTTAGGGTTAGGGTTAGGGTTGGGTTAGGTTTAGGGTTAGGGTTAGGGTTAGGGTTAGGGTTGGGTTAGGGTTAGGGTTAGGGTTAGGCTGGGCTGGTGAGCCCCTTCGAGAAGAGACCGAGCAGAACGTGAGGCAGCCCGGCTTCCAAGGGCAGAAACTTCATACATGAGCACAGCTCAGAAGAACAGATACAGAGAAAGGCATGGATGGGATTCACGAGGTGAACAGACAGTTATTCACAGCTTCCTATAAACCCGAGGATGGGGACACCTCACGAAGGCACCAGGCAGCCAAGAGGCAGAACGAAACATCAATTGGCTTCTGCACGGGAAGAAGAAACCCTGTGGAACTTACTGCCAGAGATGTTTGTCGAGTCCAAAAGCTCAGCTGAGCTCAAAGCCTCAGCTGCTGACACGAGTTCATCAAAAACAGGTTTATGAAGGACCCCCAGATGTTTTAGAGCCACTGCTCTTTCAGAAAAGTCACTGACCTTGCAGACTGCCAGCAAGTGGGAGCAGCCACCCCGCAGGTACAGTGCCCTGAACTCCCGAGTTCATCGTTGGCAGGAACAGGTGTCAGAGGGTCTGAGCCAGCTGCACCTCCAGGACGACTGTCACCCGCCAGACCGGGCTACGCTCTGACTTCCAGCTGCTGTTTTATTATTTTTATGTATCTCACTGGCACAGACAACGACCCATGTCTGGGTACCACCCACGTGCTCTAGCTCAGAGATGGCTTCCAAAACAATTTTCACCGAGTCACAGAATAGTCTGGGCTGGAAGGGTTCTTCAAAGGTCCCACAGTCCTGACCCCCTGCGGTGAGCAGGGACATCTTTAACTAGACCGGGTTGCTCAGAGCCCCGCCAGCCTGACCTTGGACGCTTCCAAGGATGCGGCTTCTACCACCTCTCTGGGCAACCTGTGCCAGGGTCTCACCACTCTCATGGTAAAAAAAAATTTCTTCCTTCCTTATACCTAGTCTGAATCTACTCTCAATTTTAACCAGTTTCAAGCCACGAAGTCTGACACACAACATAAATATACTCAGCTCCAGCAGCAGCAGCATCCTTATTTACAGCTCAGCTAAAACCTGCACTTTTCTGCAACAAAACTTAGGGTCCCCTCCTTCTTTCAGGAGTTTTAAGAACTGAATGCCTTTTAGTTCATAATCCGTGCCCCCTGGGAGACCTTGCTTTACATAAAAATCTCCTGCCTTTGCAGCATTACCCTCTGCAGAATTCATCCTTGGTAAATCTGCAGGTGCCACCAAGCTGGGGGCAGTGTGGATCTGCCGGAGGGTGGGCAGGCGCTGCAGAGGGACCTGGCCAGGCTGCGTCGATGGGCTGAGGCCGACGGGATGAAGTTCAGCCAGACCAAGGGCAGGGTCCTACACTTTGGCCACAAGAACCAGGAGAGCAGCGAGGCTGGGGAAGGGCCTGGAGGGCAAGTGCTGTGAGGAGAGGCTGAGGGAGCTGGGGGGGTTCAGCTGGAGAAGAGGAGACTCAGGGGGCACCTCATCTCTCTCCTCAGCTCCCTGCAGGGAAGGGGCAGTCAGGGGGGTCGGGCTCTTCTCCCAGGACGAGAGGGCCCGGCCTGAAACTGCCTCAGGGGAGGTTGGGGTTCGGTCTCAGGCAGCCCTTCCTCCCGGAGAGGGTGCTCAGGCCCTTGGATGCTCTGCCCAGGGCAGGGGGAGTCCCCGTCCCTGTGGGGGTTTAAGGAGAGGCTGGATGTGGCACTTGGTGCCCTGGTCTGACCCATGTGGGGCTGTTGGGGCATGGGCTGGGCTGGATGCTCTCAGATGGCTTTACCAGCCTCAACAATTCCGTGATTAAAACAGCTTTTCCTAACTCAATCACATGAAAACGAGCGAGTCAGCCAGCCCCACTGCCAGCCCCAGGACGGACGGCAGAGCTCCCGCGGGCAGCCCGTCCACCTCCAAATAATCCCAAGGCAGTGAATCCCCAACGTAATTACACGCTGCACGGAAGGGCAGTTCCTCTGGTTGGTGATAAAATGCTGCTCAACAACTTTGCCGGATGCTTCTAATTTCTCACCTTATGAGAACCAGCGAGTAATCACAGCCCGTCCACTCCCACCACCGCAGTGACAAAACCTACTACACCTCATTTCCATATTATTTCTCCCAACAGCCACGAGCAGTTCCCACAAGCACAGACAGCCACCAGAAAGAAGAGTTCCATCTTCTTCCCAACAATTACGTATATTAAATCAGAGCTCAAGTTTTGAGAAGCACTTACCAATTAAACCTGGTTTTAGGGAGTGACCTGACCAACAGACCATGACTCGACTGCAAGCTCAGCAAAGGCAGAATTGAGCTTCTCAGCTCTGTGTAACCCGCTTCAAATCTCATCAGCTGGGTCATCCCAGGGACACCACAGTTTCCTCTCTGGGTATTAAACACAGCAGGGCTGGGGAGGTTCTCCTGCCCCTCTGCTCTGCCCTGGGGAGACCACCCCTGGAACCCTGTGTCCAGTTTGGGGCTCCCCAGTTCAAGAGGGACAGGGACCTACTGGAGAGAGTCCAACCGAGAGCTACGAGGGGGATCAAGGGACTGGACATGTCTGCTGGGAAGAGAGACTGAGAGACCTGGGGCTGTTCAGCCTTGAAAGGAGACGGCTGAGAGGGGATTTATTAATGTAGAGAAATACCTGAGGGGTGTGGGTCAAGGCGAAGGGGACAATCTCTTCTCAGTGGTGCCCAGCAATAGAACAAGCAATAATGGGTTTAAGTTAGAACATGGGAAGTTCCACCTCAACATGAGGAGAAACTTGTTGGCTGTGCGGGTGCCGGAGCCCTGGCCCAGGCTGCCCAGAGAGGGTGTGGAGTCTCCTGCTCTGGAGACTTTCCAACCCGCCTGGACGTGTTCCTGTGGGGCTGCCCTGGGTGACCCTGCTCTGGCAGGGGGAGGTTGCACTGGATGAGCTTTCAAAGTCCCTTCCAACCCCAACATTCTGGGATTCTGTGATTTTATGAAGCATGAAGAACAACCTCGCTAGCAACCACCAGAACATAGAACACAGCATTATAAAGCACACTGTCATTATCGAGCTTAAAGAGGAAAGGCAGATGTGCATACCTTCAGTAGAAGTTATTTCAAATGTGAAATCTTCTCCACGGACAGAGAAACATTTGGGTTACAGTTCCTGGAATATACCCAGCTTCAGAAAAGTACTTTCATCCAGTGTGAACTCTTTCTCAAGCTTCCTATCCTGGAAAAATATTTTTAAAAGTTATTATTAACCAAAGGTAACTGAGGACCAAAGACTTTATCACCTTCCCCGAAATGAGCTTCCAGATAACCTTTCAGCCCAAAGTCAAATCTGAACAAGACTGCAGGTGCCTCTTGGCAAAGGCGCCACCACCACCGCGTCGCACTCCTTCCAGTCACCCCTGGCCTCCGTGGCCCTGGGCAAACGCAAACCTTCGTGCCACGCTGTGAGGGCGCGGGGGTTAACGGCCCCTTCCCTCCCCAGCCCTCGGACTCAGCTGCGAGACTTGTACCTCATTCAAGAGCACGTTTGTTTTCTTGACATCCCTTCAAAAGAAAGTTATAGGTTGTCAAGGAAACGCAACGGTCATTTTCACTTGTTCCAAGAATAATCGCAGCAACAATGCACGGATCGCACGGATTCGCTCCGGGGCCCCACCACCTCAGGGAGGCAGCGGCGGCCGGAGGAGACTCCTCCGGGGTTTCAGAAAGGAACAGACAAAAGACCGAAGCCTGGCTTGGCTCGCTGAGCTCCCCTGCCCAGGCAGAGCTGGGTCTAACCAAGGCTCTCTCCTAACCCAGGTACTCCCTTTGCGCTGCGGGGTTAAGGCCAAACAGAGAATTACAGCCGTCGTCAACCGACAGCGTTCCCGCTTCATCCCAGAGCAAAGAGCAGCTCCCATCCCTGGGGCTCTGACCAGCCTGGCAGCCCCAGCACACGGACACGGCGCGATGGCACCACCAGCAGAACCAACTTTTCTCATCCTCTTCTCAGTAATGACCTAACTGGAGGTACGTTAGTCACCCGCAGCGGAAGTCATCGATTTGAATGGACAGCAAACACAACCCTGTCGCGCATATTTTAGGTCTGTAAACTTGCTGCCTTCCTTTTCCCCCAGTATTTTAAGTCTTTTAAATACTGTAAGTGGTAAACACAAAACAGTGCAGCGTGGATCTAAAATCAAAACTTGAGGCCCAGCAAATACAAGTCCTGCTCTGAAAACAGACTGAATTGTTTGCTGGAGGAGTGACCGTAACCCTCAGGTGTCTTCAGACAACAGCAAGAAAAAGCTACGCTTTCTGATTCTCTATATCCATATCTATATTCTATATATCCATATCTATATTCTATATATCCATATATATCCATATATAGCTATATATCCATTTCAGGAATTAATTTGTAGTTGTGGATATTTGCTGTATTTGTACTTAAAAGCAAAGGGTAAGAAGAAAAGCTCTGAGTAACGACTTTAAATTTGGTAGGGTGTAATTACTATTTAGAAGCTACTTTATCATGGCAATGCAAAACACCTGCACACCCTGACACTGCCGTAGTGTCACCTCAGCCTCGGTTCCACTGGGCTTGTGCTCAAATCCCGGCACGACAACCAGTCCTGCCAGATTCAGAGCCCAAAGTCCGGGCACCCGTTTGCCAGCTGGTGGCACCTCCACAAGGGCCGTTGGGAGAACAGCAAAGCGGCTCCATGCACCAAGAACCACGCGCGCCCTCCAACACCAAGCGCAGGCAGTGAGGCCCCAGGAAGAGCAAGCGCCCATCTCCTCCTTCCCCAATGGGCACTCACAGAATCCTTCAGGCTGGAAAAGCCC